CTCTCAAAAATCGAAGTGAGCCACAACTGTACAAACCAAACGGGGCCTGAAAAGTTCCCCGACGCTTTAGGTGTGTTCAAAATTTCGACAGCCTCGTCGAAAGTAGCATACACATGAGCTAGTAGCAGCTTAGCCAAACATATCCTAGGCTGGCCTATGTGCAGGACATATGCAAGGTCAAACAAATGAGAGGAGATTTGGATGGATCGGGGGCAAAATACATGGGTGCATAGCCAATACACCAAAAATGCTACATGCTCTTCATCAGTAACAGATATCGAAGGGTCATCAACAAAATGTTTCTCAATGAAATGTCCGTAAGCTTTCGATTCCCAATCAATTTTGGACCTCAAAGAACTACTCGAAGGAAATGCACCTTTAATATACTTCTCCCCTATGGGCTTCAACCCAGTAATAGCCGCAATCTCGAAAAGGGTAGGCGACAGAGGGCCACAAGGCAACTCCAAAGCATGTAGGTCCTTGTTCCATAAATGCACCGCAGACAAAAACATCGCCATGTCCAAAAATGATAGATCGCATCGAGACAGATGCAAAAAGTCAAAAATTCCTATATCCCTCCAATGGTTCCCAAACTTGGCCTTTACCCTATCGAACCACCTAATGAATTGAGGCTTTTTGGAAGGAGGGCCCGTTCTATACACTTTAGAGGTAAGATTCAGAAAATCAACCCTAACTTCAGGTTGATGAACCAAAGCGGGACTAGTTGAAAGGTTAAGAGGAGTAAAAGTTTCATCGATAGGACGGAGAGGACCCCCAAAAGCAAAATTTACCCCCTCAACAGTATAAGGAATAAGTACCTGCGTCTCAGCAATCTTGCGGGAAGCCTCCTCCATCAGAGGAACTGGAGCGAACCTCTGGTTGTTGATCTCCAGCAGGTTAGAGGGTAGTGAAGAAAGGGGTGGAGCGGAAAAGTCAGAAGATTTTGATGAGCTGGCCATGGAAGTGAGCTTAGAAAAACAGAAAGGGAAGAGTTAACGGATGAGGTAACAGGGACGAAGGCAGGAGCTCAAGGGAGAAGATGAGATTGTAAAGAAGGTGATAGTTCGCGTAAAAACCAGAGTAAAGACCAAGGAAAGGTTAAAGGGAAATCGTCTAGGGAGTTGGAAGCGACGGAAGGGAAAGGTAATTAATGTAACTTGTACTGAAAGGCAACAGACTGACGAGACGGCGACGTAAGGTGGAAAAGAAACCTAAAACCCCTTTTAACCCTAGAACCCCAGAAACCCTAAATCCTAAATCCTGTGGGCTTTCAAACACTAAGGCGGGAATATTGAAAGAATATAAAACAGAAATCATTTATATTCTTCCAAGGGGGCATTTTGTTAGTGGCAAATCGAGAAAAGCGATCGAAATCGAAGGAAAGAAATGTGATTCGATAAGATAAACAAAAATTCATTCGATGTCTAATTAGAAATACGTAGCATATAGCATCGAGAAACACAATCGAGAATCGAATGAATTATAATCAAATGACTGTTGTCGAATAAAAACTAAGTCATATAAGACCAAGGTTAAAAAGGAATCGTAAGCAATTCGAAGTTCTCGATAAACACAGAATCGAGAGTAAAGAAAGTCAATGTGGACATCGAGACTTTGGCCAAATTGTGAAAGGAAGTAAGTCGAATGCACGTATAAAGAGCAGTTTTGAAATCATGGGAAAAAGTCGGAGATCGTGAGAACGTGGGAAGCTATAGAAGATAAACTGCCATACGCACGTAGAACGTGGTAGCAGTCGCGTTAACTGCTCTCGGAAGGCTTGAAGGATGCCCTATAAATAGAGCAAAGGAGGAAGGAACAGGGGAGCAGAAATTGGCAGAGAACAGAATCAGTAGTGAAAAGTCTACCGGAGAAACGACGAACACCATGAAGCTTCCGGCAATCTGGATTTCCTTGCTCACTGAGTACATTTACCGCTTTCTGTATTTTCCTTGGTAATTTATTTTGATGCAACTTAAATTCAGCAGTTTTATGTTTCTGTATTTTCGATTCCTTGTCATTTCAATTCAATGAAAATTTAAGTTTATGCATTTAGGTTTCCATGTCATTTACTTTTCTTGCAATCTCGATTTCTTGTCATTTATATTTGCACTATTTTCGATTCCTCGTCATTTACAATTGATGCAAATTTAGATTCTCGTTCTTTACATTTTCTTGCAATTTAACATTGTTTCTTGATTCGATATCTTTACTGCTTTCGATACTTTAAATACAAAATACCAAAAACAACATTTTCGATATCCTGTAATTTTCGATTCTCATACACGTTTTCGATTGAAAATCAAATTGCTAGCCTAAATAAAAAGAACTTACGTGGTAGGATTTCGATTAAGACCAAAACACCTTTAGAATCGAAATCGATCGAAATTCCACCGAAACAACTATATAAAAAAAATTATGATATAATTGATTTTATTAAATGACAACTAATTTAGAATATTTTTTAAATTATAGTTTAAAATGAAAAAAAAATAGTATTACTTATTTTTTTCCCACCAAATTTATATATAATTTTTCTTACAAAGTAACAACAACAATAAATATGTCATTTTATAAAATATTTAAGCGTAATCTCGAAACTCAATACTCTTTAAATCAATTCAAAGCATAAAGAAATAGCGCAGATACAGGGCTTTCAACCCAGTTATTAATAATGCCATGTTACACCACCAATTCGTGATAATAAAATTTTACATTCTTAATATACAATCAAGTTTTATTTAAAAAAAAATCCTCTAATTAATATTAAAAAAATAAATTTATAAAATATTTATATATCACTATTTACGATATACACTTTAATTATTATCACGTTTTTAAAATCCACTAGTTGAATACATCCAACAATTAATCTAAAAATTGATTTGCATTTTTAAATAATCATATATTCCAATTACATTATTATAAAATAAAAAATACTAAATTTAGTATAAAAATATTTAAAAAAATACAACTTTTTTAAAAATATATGTTTTTTATTTTTATTTTATCATATATTAATTATATTAATTTTAAATAATAATTCTTTTATTATATTTTATTTTATTTTTAATAATTATTCATCTTTTATTTTTTTATCTTTATTTTATATTTGTATATGTCATTTGAACTTATTTCAATAATTTTTTTTAATGTTGGATTATTATTATAATATACAGAGAGAAAGATGGTTCAATTATTTGTGCATGTGAATGGAGTCGACGTCCAATATTTTAATTGTTGGAATCAACAAATGTTCACCAAGTTGTGTGCGGAAAGGAATAATCTTGTCCATCGAATCCTAGGTTAGGTTCATTACTATCATACTATGATGGTGAACAGTAAAGATAATTTTAAAAATTATTGATAATAAATGTTACTTTGATATGTTAGGAATATTTTTAAAATTTTTAATTAAATTAATTATTTTTATTGGTGACTATAACATGTAAGAATTGTCTTAATGACTAGAGAATGAATATTCTAATATATATGATATTTGTTTTGTTTTTAAATTATCATGATTTTTTTATTCAATATGTTATATATCCATTAACTTTTATATTATCATTAAAAAAGTTTATTAAAATTAATAAAGAGTAAATGATTTTGCGAGTTATTACAAAAGCTTTAATGATATCTCTCTTAGATATACTCCATTTTTAAATTTAAGAAAATAATAAATAAACAACAACATTATAATAATTATTTTGCATTTTTTTCCATTTGGTGCATAAACATTAAAAAGATTAAAGATAATCATTTTAAATATACTTTTTTTTATTATAAAAGTTTTAATGGTAGTTCTCTTTGATATACTCCCGGTTTTGATACAATGAAAATCTTTTAAATTAAAATAATAAATAAACACCAAAACAATATTTAATAATATTTGTTTTAGATTATATTTTTTGCTATTTGATTATTACAAAAATGGTAAAAAGATAAGAATAAAAAACTTAGGATATTCATATATTTTGTAAAGCTACTACAATGATATTAATATAATTTCCTTTTCCTTAAAGAGAAATATAATTCTGTCTAGAATTTTTTTAAAATTGTAAGGAAGAAAGAGAGAAATGTGTCAATTGATAATTTCCTGTTTATAGTATTTCACGGACATCCTATTTGTTGAAAGAGACAAAGGCGCAAAATGTAACCTCATAAAAATAGATAAAGTTTATGTTTTTCATTCAATTTCTCAATCAATAATAACTTTATATTATTATATGTTTTAATGTTATATTTTTTTTATAATAGGATATCATGAAGAATATTAATTTTTATTTTAAAAAATTTCTTACCATATGAGTCTCTATATATGACCACAGTCAAAATATAATGTCACATAAAGATTGTATTATAAATAAGTAAATTTTAGAGAAAGAATAATTTTTATGACAATTTAAAATCTATGTTAATATTAATCTATGTTTTAATTAATTGAAAATTTATGAATTCTACAAACTGTGTCTACATGAACTGTATCAAAAGGTTATGCTTGGGTGGTAACATTTGAAGGAAAAGAAGAGAAAAAAATAGTTGAAAACAGTTATGAAGGTTTTATAGAGGTTGGAGAAGAAATGTAGAAAGTGAGAATCTGGGTGCTATGCGCGTTGATCGTTGTTGTTGAATTCCATTTTGTCACCACAACTTGTTATAAGGACCAACCAATTTCTCTCCTTCTTCTCATCTACTTCCTCACTGCTTCCTTTTTAGTCTCTTCTTAACACAACATAGTTAATAGAGTCCCTGTTTTCTTCTTGCTTTCAGCATCATTCATTAATGGCTCACTCTACCTCATCAGGTTTTGTCACCTTTCTTCCCTCACTCTTTTCCTCTGCCCACATTTTTGTTTTTATGCTCTTGTTTTGTAATTATTTATATTATGTTATATATTTATTCATCTGGGTTGAAGCTAGAATTTTAAGAGAAAGATTGTTTCTTTGAGGTTATATGGATGGTGGATTTTGCTCTTTTTGGGGTTTGTTGAACTGAATAAAATGGAGATCTTTGTTGAGTGTGTTGGTGTGAGTGTTTTTGTTCAGCTGGTTGGAACTGTTATCTTCTGTGAATGTGTGTGCATGCTTATTGTGAATGAGAAATGAACCCTCTGGACTGTGATTTGCACGAATAGGGACAAAATCATGACGATGTGGTCTTTCTGTACTCACTGCTGATCTTAGCATTTGTGTGGTGTTCTATACTGCACACCGCAATAGATGTGTTTGAAATGCTTTTCTATCTGTGGTTTAAGTAATGTTTTAAATTGCGGTAGTAGTTGTAGTTTCCCTGCCAGTCCTTGGAATGGGGGGAAATTGCAGATGTGACTGATGCAGCCACAGTTGTGGTCATGATGCCGTTGTAGAGGGTCCAAAAACCCTAATCATCATGACTGAGATTCTTGATATTGCGAGAAATCGTGGATAAATGTGACTGATGCAGTCGCAATTGTGGTCACAATGGTGTGAGGGAGAGTCCAAAAACCTTAACATCTGGCCCTAATCACAGTTGCAGGACCACTTTTTAAAATCTCAGGGTTACGGTATATTTCTTTTGTCATGTATGCATGGGATCTGTGTGATTTAGTACACGACATTATTGGGAGCAGAAATGGGTACTTGGAAAGTACATAATTTGAACCAATGATGCACTTGAAAGTCTTGTTTGTAACTAAGTAGTATTCAAATTTAAAGTACCATTTGTACTCTTTGTGAATTTTGGTAATGGGAAAGGAAAAGCCCATGACACAGCAGAGCATATTTGAGTTGATTCTTTTAGTTCTCGGTAATTGGCATAGGGGATGTTTTACAGTTTGCCACCTCTAAGGAAGATCAATTTATCATAATATTGGGACAATGGAAATATACTTTTTAATAGTTTTAGCCTCCTTACCTAGTGGCAGTATCTTGAAGTGTTTGATTTTTTTACTTTCTTCTCTGAAATCACATTATTACTAATGGAAAGTTGCGACAAATCGTTGTTCATGTTGGACTGAAGATACTGCTCGTGTGCAGCTAATTCCAATCATCTCAGAAAAGAAAACTGCAAGGAAAAAGGTTCACTGGTTGTTTGCTTTGGGGAAATGTTAATAGACTTTGTTCCAACGGTTGGAGGAGTGTCACTTGCTGAAGCACCTGCTTTCAAGAAAGCTCCGGGTGGAGCTCCTGCCAATGTGGCTGTTGGCATCTCTAGACTGGGAGGTTCATCTGCTTTTATTGGCAAGGTGTAGTTCTCATTTCTCAATCAATGGGTGTTGGTTTTGTAGGTTATATGATTTCCTTTATTGTCTTCTTACGATCTATCTGCACATTGTCCTGAATGATGTTGTCCAAGTCTAAATAATTATATATATTTGTCTATGCTATGTTCAAAACTAGATAGTTCTGAAGAAAGTTGTTCCTGCACACTTGTTCTTAGAAGGGAAAGATAAAAAGGAAATACTTGCTTGAACTGCTTGAATAGAAAACCACATTTTAAGTCATTTGCAATTTGTTTATTAGGTTGGAGCAGATGAATTTGGGTACATGCTGGCTGACATTTTAAAGCAAAACAATGTTGAGACTTCTGGCATGCGGTTTGACTCTAATGCAAGAACTGCGTTAGCTTTTGTTACACTTAGAGCGGATGGTGAACGTGAATTCTTGTTTTTCCGCAATCCAAGTGCTGATATGCTTCTTCAAGAATCAGAACTTGATAAAAATCTCCTAAAGCAGGTGTTTGAGATATCTGTTTGTTTTTTATGAAATTTTGCCCTTAGACTTGATAAAAATCATCTGAAATCGGGATATTCATAACATTGACTTCAGGCTAGAATATTCCATTATGGCTCCATCAGCTTGATTGATGAGCCATGCAAGTCAGCTCACCTTGCTGCTATGAGAATGGCCAAAAACTCTGGTTGCATTCTCTCTTATGATCCAAATTTGAGATTGGCTCTGTGGCCTTCAGCAGATGCTGCTCGGAAAGGCATAATGGATATATGGGATCAAGCTGATGTCATAAAGGTATAACATATGGGACCAAGATATTCTTATATTGATCTCCTTTATAAATGCTAATATACTAATCCATTTAAATTTACTCTCTACTGTACTGTTTACTTTTGAAAATTAAGAGTGCTATTATTCCTTTCTATTTTCCAGATAAGCGAGGATGAAATTACATTTTTGACTGGAGGTGATGATCCTTATGACGATAATGTTGTTTTGAAGAAGCTTTTTCATCAAAATCTCAAGCTTTTAATTGTCACTGAGGGCTCACAGGGTTGCAGATATTACACCAAAGTATGCTTACCAAAACCATTTGATTATAATGTCTCATTGGAAGCACAATTTCTCTTTGCTTTGTTTTCTAGTCATAGACAAATATCATATGTCCCTTATACTACGTGACTTGTGGGTATGTGTGCACTAAGGCAACACCATCCTTCACCTGTGTACTCAATGACTACTGGTAGCTAGTGAAAACTGAAATGAAGTTTTCTTTATAGGACTAAACCATGGTTTCCTTTTTGCCCCTCATGAATCATTGTTCAGCTAATTGTCATTGCCAAATTTCTACGCAGGCATTTAAGGGAAGGATTGCAGGTGTTAAAGTTACACCTGTAGACACAACTGGTGCTGGCGATGCATTTGTTAGTGGGATTTTGTACAATATAGCTTCTGATCAAACTATTTTTCAGGTAATTTTGAATTTTTGAGTTGTTCTGGTTGTGTAGATTAAATTGTTCTGGCTGCATCTGTATATCATACAACAAAAATTCTATGGATCCCCGTTTTGATTTTGCTCTTTCTTGGCTTAATTTCTGGTGATGTTGACTGTGGAAGCTATGATCTTCTTTGACAAACCTCTGTAATAAGAAGAGAAAATAACATAGCATCTCCATCAATTGATATAACTAATGCATAAACTAATTTGTACAAACTTGTGATAGTTTCTCTAAATTTTTATTTTTAGTTTGTGTATAAACTAATTTTAGTTTCTGAAGAAGCTTATTTAATTTTTTTTCTTGTATTTTCCTCCTTAAAATGTTCTTGCATAGGAATTTATCCATCTTGTTTTGGTTCGTAGGATGAGAAAGATCTTCGAAAGGCTTTATATTTTGCCAATATATGTGGTGCCCTCACTGTGACCAAGAGAGGTGCAATTCCTGCACTACCTACAAAGGAAGCTATTTTGACATTCTTACTAGAAGCAGCTGTAATACAACAGAATTGACAGATTTTTGTTATAATTTGTTGTTACTCTATATCTTAGGTGATCCTGAGCTTCTTTTTTCTTCAGTTTACATCTTTTGTTACTCTATATCAAGTTGCCTTTTGTTCTTGTTTTGGTATCTGTATCAGTTTTGCTTACTAATTAACTCCAGGTTTAAGATACTGTGGATATTCCTTTTCCAATATAGATTATTCTATGCTCAAAAGTGATTCCACCAAAATTCAACCCTTGAATTACTTGATCAAGAAACACAAATCTACTAGTTATATCAACCTATATCTATTTATTATTTTAAGAATAAATACCACAATAATCTTACATAGTCATTAATCACAAATTTTATAAGATAAATTTGTTGACTTTATGTAAAAATTATATTAACTTATTATGATAGGACGATAACATGAAAAATGGTTTTATAGTGAAAGTTTATTATCGCGTACTCGTTTTTTAAAATATCATAATAAAAGTGATTTGAGAATATTTTTGTATTATGTAATGGAAAAAATATTTCAAGAATAAAATATTATTGAACATGATAATTCAAAATTAGAGAAAGTAAAGGCTTTTCTTTTACAAATAAGAATGTTTTTCATAATAATTAAAGTTTTCATATTCATGACGATAAATATTTGTTACTTAAATGTATTTTTATTGCATACGATGTTGTTTTTTCTTGTCATATTTTAATTAAGAAAATTATTCTGTTATATTGTGTTGTTGGAATTTAGGGTCCAGAGATATGTTTTATTTTTTCGAAAATTCAGATAATGAAAATCTCATTCCCAAAAATGTAAAAGAAAAGATGACATATATAAAAGAAGGAGAAGAAGAAGAAAAAGAAAATAAGATTGAGGTTGTGTTGGTGCAGGAAGAGAGTGTTTCTTCGTCTATCCGATTCACAAAAAATGGGTTCGAACCCGAAGTTTGTTCCCGAGATCGGACCCGATGGTCTTCCCAAAGAAGCTCCCGTTATCAGTTACACGGAACAGGTTCTCTCTCTGGCTCTTCCTCTCGCTCTTCGTTCTTCAATCTCTCACAATCTCGTTGCTTTGTTTCTAGAAAATCGAAGCAGAACAACTTCAATTGAAGAAGTAACCCTTCTCTTCCTCTCCATGCAGTTCTTAATTCGTTATTTAATTTTGGTTATTCATTTCATTTTTAATCTACATTTTGAGCACTGATTCTTAATGTTCAATTCAGCATTCGTGCTGCTGAACTATTCACAAGGTTTCGGTTGATGTCCAAAGACAATTGCAAATGGAGGAAACAATTAATATTTCTTTGGTTTTCTGCAAGTGACTAATAAATTGAACCAATTTCTTTTTTTCAAAGCACCAGATTAAGCAGATGGGGTATGTAAGAAATGATAAAAGGCATGCAGTTTGTATTTAAATCTAACATTAGAAATGGGTAAACAACAATTTTAGTCCTTAAAAGTGTAGAATACATTCACATTAGTTGATGGAAGTAAGAAAATTTAAATTAAGTCCTATGTTGTTATTTTGGTGTCTAAACTTGCATACTTATAGTCACTTTAATTCTTAAATTTATGTTAATGTAATCACTTAGTCATAGACTTGAGTGCGGTCGAATTGTACTTAAAAATACTTTAATATTATGCTAAAGTGACAGCATCCTACTGCCAAGGATGACATTGACTATTTATCCTATTAGATAAAATAAGTTTCTTTTTATAACCACTGAATCTTTAATTTTGTTTTTTTTTTTTTTTAATGTTTTCAGGTACATTGAAGAAAACTATTCTAAAATTCGTGATGTGGAGCGTGAGCTTGCAAATCTTGGAATGGAGATGAAACTTACATCTGGATCAAAGAAAGCAGGTTTTATGTCTAATTGTTTTCACTTGCAGAAATTAAGAGTGTAATTGTTTCCTCTTGCATAAATTAATAGTTGTTCCTTATAGTTGTAATTAGTAAAATGTAAACTAATGCTGCTTCATTTTTATATGCCATGCTTACTTTAAGCGCTGGAACATATGAGAACAAAGATAGAGGCATCAACAGAGAAAATTCGTGAGGCAAAGCTAAAGGAAGAACATGCACATAAGGCATGTTACTTTTATGCACTACTATTAACTATTTTTCCTGCTGCTTGCATGGTATTTATATTTGAGGTTTGGGTGCCAATGTACTCTGTTTGCTATATGCCTGTATCACTGTACCTGTTAGCTGTGTGACTTCAGTTCTTGTGTTTACAATGAGGTCAACAACGAGGTCCTATGCTACTTGCAAATAGGTTGAACAAGTTTTCTAAATATTAATTTACTTTTAAATCTGTATAAGTTATAGAAATGTTGAATGATTGTCTCGTTCAGTGCATTCATCATTCACATAGACAAGGGCTAGAAAAGTGGGTGAGTTAAGTTTTTACGCAGTAGCTGTCTGTGATCACATATATTGGACATAGCTTATGTTTTTCAACATTTAACTTCAACAAGGGTGTGCATGTCCATATTCTTGTTCATCAATTCATTTTGTTATGATAAATAAATAGTTAACCTTTATTCTAGTCTCTATAGTTCTTAGATTGTATCACTTTAGTAATTTTCTTTACAAAATCCTCACTTTAGCTCTTGACTTTACTTTTAGGTTTTTCTCACTTCTTATTTGACTGCGATTTTGCATAAAAAGGACTGAAGTGATTGTCATTTGCAAAGTTACGAGCTAAAGCAATATATATTAATAAACTTAAAGATTAAATCGGAGTGTACATGGTAAATGAAAGACGTCATTACTTATACCTTAACTATTTCCCCCCTTTTCTTCGTCAAAATGATATCACTTTATTAATAACATGTTTGGAACAACTTTTTAAGGGAAATAATGGCTTGTTTTTCAGAAACTCACATAGTTACTCAAGTTAAGTTGAACCTATCGCACTTTAAAAGTTAGATTTCTTAACCATTCTTTGTCTTAACAACATGCATTGATTGATTCTTTACTTTTTCTTTTATTGAATGGTCTCCCTGGTCTCTTATTTTTAAATTATAAATTGCAGATATGAATACGATTTAGATAAGAGGTTTACTGCCTCAAACATTTAATGGGAAAGTTGAGCATTGATCATAAAAAACATTGATAAACATCGTTATTTACCTTTTCAATTATGGTATCTTGACTGCATGTGCTGCAGGCATGGGAATCAGCATCAAAAGCAGTGAGGGATGAAGAGGAAATAAAGCGGAATTTATGTGAAGACTTAAGCAAACTGGTAAATAGATTGTTAAATGGACATAATATTCCACTTTTTCATCCATTGTGTTGATATTAACAATTTTTTCTAGGTTGAAGAGAGCAACAACACTCAGTTGTCTAGGCTGGAGGAATTAAAAAGACGATTGGAAGCTATGAATCCAAATCGGCAGTCAACTAGTCTTCATAGTGTATGTCATTCTTAATACATTCCTCATTCTCAGATCTATATAGTCAATAGTTTCTACGGCATCATGTAACTGATAGCCTAATGAAATACACATTGTTGATTGACCTTGGGTACTTTCCTCAATACTCACTGATCTGCCTGTCATGTGATAATGTCGATCCTCAATCTTGTCAAACCTGCCTCCAAGAAATACTGTTAATAAAAGGTACTGGCCAAGCCTTTCACAGTTGACGTTCTAACTATATGTCCTGAGTTAACCAATATAAGGTTTCCTGCTGTAACAGATGGCATTCTACTTTCTAAACATTTGGAGTTTCAAACTGAACCTTTTTTTATCACCATAATATGTAGTCGGGATACAAGAGAATGTGCACTGGTTGCCTGGCTTCTTGCTGAAAATGTATTTCTTTCCAGCTTAATATTGACTGTACATGTAGATAATCTAGGTCATTTGTTTCTGTTAAGGTTCCAACATAAAACCAATTGGCTATATGTGGAGTAGCCTAACATGTATTTAAATCATACCAAATGACATGAGGTAGGCGATGTGGGACTTTCAACACACACCCTCCAACGAAGCCCGCCGGACCAGGCAAAGGGTACTTTTGACCCAACTAAAGGGCAACTTTTGACCCATGACAATAACCGGAAAGATGTTAGGCTTTGGCTCTGATACCATGTTAAGGTTCCAACATAAAACCAATTGGCAATATGTGGAGTAACCTAACATGTATTTAAACCATACCAAATGATATGAGGTAGGCGATGTGGGACTTTCAACACACCCCCTCCAACAAAGCCCGCCGGACCAGGCAAAGGGTACTTTTGACCCAACTAAAGGGCAACTTTTGGCCCATGACAATAACCGGAAAGATGTTAGGTTTTGGCTCTGATACCATGTTAAGGTTCCAACATAAAACCAATTGGCTATATGTGGAGTAGCCTAACATGTATTTAAACCATACCAAATGACATGAGGTAGGCGATGTGGGACTTTCAACAGTTTCATTTCTGTCTGACATATGCTACTGGTCCCATTAAACAAATCCATATTATTCTTGTGAAAGTAAAACCTAACCTTGCATGTGAATTATCCTAGGCTGGGAGATCAAGTTCTCTGGATGGTGCAATACAAAATGGCTTCCCCGTTTCCAGCACAAGGGAATCAAATGGAGGTTCGGCTGGGAATGTGCCGGACCAAAATAATGGTCAGAAAGTTCCCGTGTCTAATGAGCTTAAACCGAAGCCTCCTACTGAAGGAGAACAAAGAAATAAAAAGAAAGTTAACTTAAGAGGAAAAGGAATTGGTGCAGTGCCCAAGACATGGTCTTCAACTCCTGACTGGACTGGTTCCGGCTTTGATGTAGATGGCAGAACCTAAGAGTAGTATTATAATGCAATACTGCACTAAATACATTTGGCTGAGAAGTCATTGCGATCTGCGGAAGGTAATAACATCTTTTAATTTTTCATTCTTTATACCCATTAGCTTAGTCAATTGCCCCTATTTGTTAACAGTTACACAGATTGACTAACCAGATGATTTATCTTTGATAGACAGCTTGTTTGTGGATAGGGTATTTCCATGGAAGAAAAAATAAATTCATCAAGTTCTATTCGTTCTTTTGATTTTCAGAGTATGCAAGCTGACACCTAAATTTTGATTTCTTTGTTTTTGAACTGATGACTGGTTTTCACTCGTTCTTGGCAAATGTTATGGTAATCTTCCGATGAAACAATAACAACTGCCTCTGCTTCATAGACATCTCTAGAGGTGCAGTGAGTGTTTGGTTCAAAAGCTTCCGATTAAAACTAACAAAAATGACAACATTTTCTACTTTGGTGGCGATGAAACTTATTTCCACTTTGTCCATGCAATAAGTTTGTAGTTCATTTGTGGGTTCATTGAACATTTGGGTTTTACGTATGATTTCGGTGGCATTGGTTCCGTTCAATTCTCTGGTAAGTCAAAAAGTAGTTACATATTATGCTTAATCATTTGAACTTTATTTCCTCACCTTTAAGCTTTTACTTGGTTCGAGGCTGAAGCAAATAAGGAAGAAAATGTTTGATTGAGAAGAGAAAATGGAATATATATACAATTTTTCTCTGGTGGAGTAAAACTGAGGTATAGAGAAAATTTTATTAAAATGATAATTTTCAAGTCTTCAATCTAATTTTGGTATCCTTTTACGTAGAAAGAGAGAAAAGATCAAATTAGTTTAAGAGTAACTTTAAAAGATATATTCTTCATAGTCCCTCTTTATTTTCTTTTAATAAGTTGAAATTGTTTTGAGCTCATTTCTTGCTCACCAAGGCTTAAATTTTAATTTTGATGGAATCTTGAGCCTGGAATGAGAGGAACTTATGTCAAAGATTTTCAAAATATAAAAAAATACATGGGAAAATACTTATTCCAGAATGATTGTGAGGGGACTTAACAAATACGTGAGGTACATAAAGAAATTCTCTTGTATGGACCCACATAAAGAAATTCTCTTGTATGGACATGCTTCAAAGGATCTGGATTTGTTTGTTTTTATTTTTTTTGTGCAATAGAAAAAAAAAATGAGTAAAGTATTGATTTCTTAAGAAATCAGTCAACCAAAGGCTAGCAATGTTACAAACAAAGAGGAGTTAGTGATTGTGCACAATGAATGATGATAAAGATTCTCAAATTAGAATTGTCATTAAATTAGGCTACTTTAAAGAAGTGTAACTCAGATACAAGAATTTATTAAAATTCACATTGCCAAACCAATTAAATTAGATATTTTTATTAGAATAGATGCTTTGAAACTATCTAAATTATAAGATAATCACCACTAAAAAAAATAATCTCATTTCTATTGTCTCAAATAGCCCAAATAATAACATCTAATATATTCTTCTTTAAATGTGACTTACCAGTTCAAATTCTTAGATTAATAAACAAACAAAATGAGTTTAGATGACCAATTCAAAAGTTTCCTCTAAAATTCAGAACTCTACTTTACCCATTAAATTAAGAAATTAAATAGCCATTGATTTTTTTTATAGCGAATATGCCTTCAGAATTTAGATTGGTCCCATTTCAGACGAAATTGAAATGTGGACAAATTTTCAAAGTAAATATGATTGAATTTTTTTGAGGAATCCAATCCAGGAAGAAGATGGGTATCTGCAATTGTGCAGATGGTGGGGACAAGCCGTTTCCAGCATCATATTTCTGATTGAAAATTGCGTTTCTCAGAAGAATTTACTCATTTCTACTGATTCTGTTTCTTGCAATTATGATCATCTGTACCTTGTCCCTTCAATGTACCTCAGTGACCCAGAGATGCTAAGTTCTACCTTTTTTTGTGTGTATCAAAAATTTAGATCACCTAGGTGTTTACACTTCAACAAGCTCAAATAAAGCTTTGAAATTCAAAATGTGCTTCTCAAATATTATATATACATGATGGACAAGTTTATGACTAAACTAAAAATAACCAATCAAGTAAACTTTTTTTAAAAAGATATTAATTATTTTTAAAATTTATAAATATTTTATACTAATAATATATTTATCTCAAAAATATTATATAAGATGCACCTACATCAACAATATTATATAACATTGAGATGATATAATACACCATATTAAGTATCCAAATCATTTTTCAATTAAATAAATTAATGATAATTTGAATTCATTTTTTTTATTGAAATAAAAATGGAGAAAGATTTACCCTGAGTTGTATGGAAAGATCCCATTTGGGAACAGTGTTAAAGGTTGATAATGATAATTAGATTGCATTAATTAATTAATTTTAAACAAAAAGTTTGAGACTTTGCACTTTATTTATTTAAGGGGTGTTGGCTTTTCCAATGCACCTCCCAATCAATGACTCATTATTATTGAATGAATGGTTTTTATTCATATAATCTCAGCAAACTTCAGTTTATATTCTAAAAATAGTTGAAAAAAAGTACCCAACAAATCACAAACCTTATCATTGAAGAAGCAAACTCAGAAACAAACAGATCTGTAACCCTATCCATTATATTGCTTTTTGAAAATAAAATGAAGATTTTTTTTTTAAAGTATCAAGATTTTTTTACATAGTAAATAATAATTTATTAAAAGACTTTTCTCATAATAATCTTTCTTTTCAAATAAATATCTTATTTTATCTATTACAAATATAAATATTAGTACAACGAGAAAAAATTACTGTAAAATCCTAATTTTTTTTAATTCAACACAATCCTTCTATTGTTTCAATTTTGTTTATATATATATATATATATATATATATATATATATATATATATATATATATTAAACGAGAAAGAAATACATAAACACATAAAATAATCATGAAAGATTGTATTCTTTGTATTTCAATAATAAAAAAAAAGTTAGAAGAGAAAATGTTTATGAATTATAATTTGTAGATATGAAAATTCCACATTGATGCATGCATGCAAGAAGTGATAGATAGCCTTGACAAGTAAACATCATCAAAATGGAGAGACACAAGGATGCCTCTCCATCTCTTTCCCTCTTTCTGCCATTTTTGCTGAGACAATCATGGCACCTATTCATTACTTCACCTTTTCCTGTTTGAATTTGCCGCTCTTTTTCTTTCACCACTTCTTCTATCGATATCATCACTTTTTTTCTATTTAATCAAAATATTTGATAAAGTTAGAAATTTAAGTTTGAGATAAAATTTTATATTTAATGAAAGAATGAGTACCGTATTATAAAAGAAAATCTCACAAACTTAATTTAAACTCTCGATAAAAAAATGAATTTAAATAAATGAAAAATGAGATTAATTGGATTAATAATAATAATAATAATAATAATAAAATAAAATATAAAGTTTATAGAAAATAAACTTGATTTGATTGATTAAAAATGTTTTTCTTTTAAATTATAATATAATTATTTTATATATAAATATACATAATTAATCATGTCAAAATATTAAATTATTTTTTTTCATATTGAAAAGGAGAAAGAATAAATTTTAGAAAACTAAGAGGAAAACATTTATTATATATTAAAAATGTAACTTTCTTTATATTTCTTCAGTTTAAATCTTGGTTAAAATCTTTTTATATTAATCTCTCAAAAATACTTTTAAATAGAATAAAAAATTCATATACAAATCTTTAAATATATATATATATATATATATATATATATATATATATATATATATATATATCTTTCTTAAAACACTGCTGTAGTTAACCCAAATGAAACAAAAACGTTAACAAGAGTGAGTAATAGTGAATAAAAATATATAATATTCTTTATGAATATATATATATATATATATATATATATATATATATATATATATATATACTTTCTAAAACAATTTTTAGGTGAATTCTTTTATATTTTCCAACAAAAAATTTATGACAAATGTCTTAGATATTGGAATTTATTAAAAATTTGACAGAAGAAAAAAAGGTATTCAATAAACACTAAAACCTTGATAAATCTTGGATTTGGTTTTACCAACTTCCTAAGATATTAATAAATAAAAATATTAAGAAAACGGTAACATCAAAGATCACACTTCTCAATAAAAAAGTTTTCACTTTTTAACTTTTGAACCATTATAAAACAAAAGATAACGAAATCAAACACAGTTATATATCTATAAACTAGGAATCTTGCATCTATAATCCAAGGTTTTGGATCCAAGTTGTTGAACTTTTGAACCTTGGACGAGAACATATTCATTCATGTGATTTGTTTCGTTAGTTGAGTTTCACGTAACAATAAAACAAAAAGTGAAAAAAAAAAAGAAGTCGATGTCTCGGTTTCATTTTCAACACTTGTTTGTTCAGAGAGAAAAAGAAAGAAAAAAGTGTCATTAAAGTTGATGTCTCCATGCAAAATAACCTTATAAAATTAAAAGAGAAAACCTTTACTTTTAGGGTTGCTCTACCTTACAATCTCAAACTTCCATGAGCTAAGAGCCAAACATGACCCTCTCACCAAATTCTATAGGTATGCTAACAATTCATAATTTTTTTTATTCAAATAATAAACATCAAGTGATAAAGTTAATAAATAAAGTATGAAAAAACTATTAAATTTTATAATAAATTTCAAATAATAATAATAAAGACTCTATGCAAGCATATGTACTGTGTGTTCTGGTGTATTCATAGAACGTTTGTTATGGAAAATTAGATAACATGCAAGAGTACACTGTTAAAAAAGAGAAAAAATTGTTCCAACCAAAAACTTTTATTATTTGACTTTTACCCTTTTTTTTGGTAAGTATGTAAGTTTTTTCTTTGAACTTTGAATAATTGGGGTAAATCACGAATTTTGTTCCTGAATATGAAAATAAATAATAATTTAGTTGTTTAAACTAGATTAACATAGATTTAATTACATATAATAAAATGAAGATTTATAAATTATTATTTCATCAAACGGTATCTTTAGAACAAAAATATATATTGATATGAAAAAAAGAAAGGCAAAAAGCTTGGGTTCCAGAGCACGCTGAGATGAGTGAATAGCATTAATATTAGATTTATTAACCTATGTTTTAAATTATAATTAAAAGTCAAAATTATAGTTAAAGTTGTAAATTCCATAATTTTAATGGAGATATTAACCTAAGTTTTCACTTCTATATTATATATGAAAGATAATATTAGATTTATTAACCTAAGTTTTCACTTCTATTATATATGAAAGATATAAAACAGTTTAAAATAAGTGAGTGTTAAATGGAGATATTTTAATAAAATAATTATTATTTAAAGTTGATAAAAAATTATGAAAGATAAAAAATTAAAATATATTATATTTTTTTATAAAAAAAATTGATCTTAATTTTTTTTATCAAAATTGATTCGACTAAAAAATTCAATCTATTTTTTTATTTTATTTCGATTTAATAAAAATATAATTATTTAAAAACAATGGATTGATTTATAAACGATTCTCAAATAAACTAGTTGAACCACTGGTCCGTATTTGAAATAATACTTATTAGTCTATTAATAAAGAGAAAATTAATATACAATTCCATGTTTTTTTCTTAACATCATGAATTGATTTTCATATTATTACCTTCGAAGAGATTTATTCCTTAATCATGTTGTTATCATACAAAATTTAAGTTTAATTATACAAGTAACACATTGTTAACTCCAATTTTCAACTTGGAGATGATAAATAGAGTACTTGATTATCTAAAACTGAATTACACTAATCATACTTATATATGTTTTTATTTTAATATTTTTATCATGTAATATATATAACAATAATTTTATTTAAATAAGTATACACTATTTATATAACAAGTTATAAATTAAGAAATTAAGTTACAAATAAATAATATTACTTGTTATTCAAATCAAAAGTAAAAAACCGACAAAAAATAACGATTATATTTTAGTGATATAAATATTTTTTTCACAGATAAGTTTGGTGCAACTACTAAATGCATTTATTTATATGAAAAATGAGTGGATGTCTCTGTAAATAGACTTTCTAATTAAAAAAAAAAAGGAGAGTATTGTACAAATTTAACAAAATATATTTAAAATAAATGTGTGTTCTTATAATTATGATTGAAAAATTTAGTTAATTTTTATTAAAAATTTACATCATCATTCATTAGTATAGTTTTAAATTTTTTTAAAGATATCGTGATTAGAAAAGAAATCTAACACATTAAATTTGAAAAATTTCACTAAACTATAAATATTTAACAACAACCATACACTTACACAAAAACATCTAACAACCCTTACAAAACATTGAATAGTAATCATCAATCTCTCCGAATATTCTCCCAAGTTCATCCTAAATTTGTTTTTGTGAGCCTCAAATTAAAAACTGTTTATGCAACTATCCCAAAGCTCCTAACACTAACCCAAGATAAAAATACCAAATTAAATTAAAAAAAATGGTAAGTATATTATACTAATAAAATGTACTTGGTTCACTTGAATAGAAAGAGAGAGAGAGAGAGAGAGAAGGGGTAAGGGGGAACTAAAGTGTGGGGCGTGGATTCCTCTGTCAAATCTTGTCTTTTAATGACCAATGAATAGGGCAGTCTTGTCGAGGGGTCAAATTCTTCTTGTGACCCTACAATCGAAGGGTTCAAACTTCAAACCCCATGCACGTGGACCCCCACAACTATGTCACGTGACACCTTCCTACTAAACGACGCCGTCCTTTCTCCAACCGCAAACTTCTTCACCATTTCCGTTTTCAACCAACTCATTACAAAGTTTTACCTCAAATAAAATATAACTCATTGCTAAATAGTTCATAAATTGATTGTCGAAATTACATTGCTTCAATCTCAATTATAAAGTGATAATTTTATGGTGAATAATTACAATAATTGCACCCTACGTTTTTATATAATTTTAAAATAAAAAATATAAAGAAAAAGTATAGTAAGTTACAAGTTTTTTTCAACCTCAATCACGGTAATTTTACTATGACATGTTTAGACACAATTAATTCATTATTTAGATAACATGATCAAGAAGTAAAGAATTTTTATATCATGAATAATAATTTATGGTTATTATAAATAAATAATCTTAATATATACACATAGAATACATATATAACAAATAAATTGAAATTGAATTATGTACTAGTATTAGGTTAAAATTGAGAGATAGTACAAACATGTGATATTTTCACATCATCTAATAATTTCTCTATTCTCACATTTCCCAAGCAAATCCATAAGCATAACCGTTTCATGCACTAACGTGCCCCATATGTTCCCTTCAATCTCTGCCACCAACCCTTCTCCTTCTTCCTCCAACCCTTCACCATCCTTCTCTCTCTCCATGTCCTCTCCTTCAATCAACCCATCGATGTCCTCCAACACCTCACACTTGGCACGTGGGAACTCCCCCACCCTCTTCCACACCCTCTCCACAACGCTCCCACTGTGCCTACAACCAGCAACATCCTTCGAAAACCAAAGCCTCTTCTCTCTCTCTTGCAGAATCTCCTTCAGAATCTCGTCCACCAGATCGAATAGTAACTTCCGGTTCCAACGGTGACCCAGTTGGTCTTTCGGGGCAAAGCTGAGATCTTTGTCGGCGGCGGGGTCTTCGAGATGGAGGAAGATTGATGGGTTAAGTGGGTGGGTTGGGGAGAACCAGTGGCGGTGGAGGGACAGCAATGTTGGGTTTGTGGGGGTGCCCTCTACGTTTAGGGCAGTTGTACGGGCTAGGATTGCTGTGATGTAGTGAAGCTCTTGTGGGGTGTGAGATTGGGGTGCTCCTCCGGTGGTGGCGGAGGCACCGTTAGGTTTGTTCTGTGATGTTTCTCGGGTGGCGAGTGCGGTTGTTCCTTCTTGTTTGTACTTCTGGCGCGAACAACTAGATAACTGTGAGCTGCTTTTGGACTCTTGACTATCACACACCTGTGACTGTTTGGGACATACATAGATTTTTAATGTTTTGGTAATTCAGAAAAAGAAAAGAAAGCTGTTGTTGGTTAACTTTAAAAAAAATTATATTCTTCTTAAAAATTGTGTAGAAAGACAACAAAAAAAAGTTAATTTAGATGTACTAACACTGTAAAGTTATATATGTTGCTATTTTAGGTTATTATCTAAAAATAAATTATTATGTATGAAAGGATGAAAAGTGTTAGAAATATATCTTTGGCACAATCTTTTGGTCAAAGTTCAAACTTATTAAAAATTATAAGAGAAAATAATTAATAAAAATATAAAATATGTGTTCTCTTGCCAATTCTCATGAATAAAAAATTTTCTTTTTATAATAATTGATTTAAAAATGTTCTCTTAATATATTTACAAGATGAAAGTTTCTTTATATTATTATTTTACTATATCGTTTAATTATAGATATGACTATAATGTAGGAAAATACTATTAAGTTTGATTAATAACTATTTTAGAAATTAAGCCTGTATTGATTTTAAATTAGTTGAAATTATATCATTCAGGCTTACATGCAAGTTATTAAATCCATGTGTTTTTAATCATAGGAAATTTAGGACTGCTAAGCCATTATTTTGTGAAGTTTCAATTTTGTGTAAGTTCAGTTTTTTTTTTTTTTTTTTTTCAAAAAGCACCCAGAATAATTCAAAATAAATTTATAAAACAATCAGAAATTTGAATTATTTTTCTTCAAAAACTTAAACACATTTAAAATTTTAAAAGTAAAATTTCTAGTTAAAAATATGTTTTTTATGACAAATTTAAACAGATGGAATCCCTTGTAGTGACTGCTAAAAAGAACGACTTGTAAAGGAAAAAAGTTTAATAATTGACATAGTGTTGAAAATTCAATAATGCGTTACCTGTTTTGAAAGAATTTTGGTAGCTGGAGGAGAATGGTCTATCTTGACAGGAAGAAGATTTGGTACACTGTTGATGTTGTTGAGGAGATTACTTGACAATGGATGAGTTTTCTTGCTTTTGGAGCTTTTGGTGTCACTGGCTCTAGTTGGCGATGTGGGACGAATGATGAATGATTCTTCTTGTTTGTTTCTGATTATGTCTGATGTCTGTGGAGGTCTTTTGAGCCTTGAGTTGAACTTTTCATTGGTAGACTTTTTGCATTTTGGGTTGTTCTGGTGAAAATCTTGCTGCTGCGGTAACAATAATACTTGAGGCTTTGGTTTTGTTAAAACTCTTGGAAGCTGAGTGTTAACTGGAGGAGGAGGTGGTGGCAGTTTCAGCATGTTTTGGTCATCTGGGGTGAGTGGTGATGGTGTGGTTGTGGCGCTTGGTTTGTGCTTGTCAATGAATCTAAGCCTTGGGGAATAGGAAGATGTGTTTGGCTGTGCTTTTAGTGGGCTAGTTTCAGATTCATCAATGGCTTTCAGTGATGATGTTTTGGGAGATTTTTTGCTCTTGAGTTGGCCTACAATTTCCTCTCTTGTTTTGAGACTGTTGGTGATGTCTTGGCCAACTTTTCTTCCCACACTTTCCTTTACCTGTTTGACTATTTGCCTGGCATAGTGGCTTGGACTCCTGCCATTGTTCTCATCACATTTTCTTTTGGAAAATGAGAGCCTAGGGAGCTCCAAATCCTCACCAAGGTTCATGTTTTCCTTGTTGATTTGAAGCGAGAATCTGTGGTGGTAATCAACATCTGATCTTCTTGATGAGGAGATTCTTGGTGTCTCGGGCAAAGATCTCGTGGCTGCAATGTCACTGCTGTCTATACTGTTTCTATGCTTGGTTTGGATATGTTGTTTGTGCCTCAAGTGGCGGTGCAGATGTGGCACATTGCCCAGTGGGTTTGGAGTGGAAAGGCATGAAGAAGAAGAAGAAGAAAAAGAGGGTGAGTGTGTCCCTGGAAGAAGATCCAAACCCATCAACCGGGCCACCAAAGTTGGTGTCTTTGTCCCTGGTGAGCTGGTGATTTCTGCAGGCAAGTCATTCAAATTTCCACCACCTGTTGTTGTGCCTCCACTTGTCTTAATTTGTACAATATTCTTCTGGGTTTTCAAAACAAGTGATCAAAATAATTAATATAGTGCTATGCTATCATTACTCACTCTACAAAACAAACAAACCAAACTAGGAGTGTGTGAAATAAAACTCATAATCTAAACTTACAGGAATTTTAAAATCTTCTTCTTTTGATGAGAGAGATGAAACATGACCATCACCATCCTCTGATTCCAAGCTGTTCCTAGGTGCTTCAGCACCTGAATTACACAAAACCCACATGAGAATGCAAAAAAAGAGAGTAGTTGGTGCTTTGAAACATGACTAGTGACTAGTATAACAACTAAACATAATACCTTTGGAGACTCTGGTATGGTCTTCTAAAGAGCATGAAGGTGGTTTGAAAGAGGTTTGTTGTTGGTTTATGTTGGGAAAATGAAAGGGATGAAAATCAAATAACTGAAAAACAGCACACATGCACCCAGAAGGTTCTTGTGCTTCAGCTTCACCTCCTCCTCCTCCTCCTCCCACTACTACACCTCTCTTTGATGATCTTCCAGCAAAATACCACTCCCTACCCATAATTGGTAAGCCTATGGCTTTTCTGAACTTTACAAACAAGAAAGATGGTGTGGAAAAAGGGTTGTCAAAGAAGTGATGAAATCAGAATGAAAATGACACAATAAGCAGTGGCCTCAGAGAGAGAAAGAGAGAGAGGTAGGAAAAACTTTGTGGGATCTGCAAATGAAGAAGCGAGAAAAGCGGATCCTTGAAGCATAAAACGGTCACAGTGTAAGGAATTAAGTACACTGAGCCGAGAACACTACCTCTATAATAAATTACACCTTTTTCAATTTGGGAACAAAATAAAATAAATGTATATTAAAATATGTACCTTCTCATTGTTTGAACGATAAACATACTCCACATGACGTCACCCGTTTTTTCAAAAATTTATTTTAAAAGTTCCTCCATCAACCAAAACTTGTTCTCTCAAGATATACATACATACATTATGTTTTTTAAAAGAATTGGCCACATTGAATGTTAGTTACTACGAGTGTGGAATAAAAAACTCAACTTTACTTTTTATCCTTCAGCCTTTCTTACAAGCTCGTTCTTTCCCATCACATAATCGATTTTTCACTTTTCTTTGAATCCCCTTTTAGCTGCTTCTGTCACTCTTGCTAACCAGTATCTTCATTAGACTAATTGAAAGATTAAAACAAGAAAGTTTTAATTGAAAATCATGAAACTGTGTATATCATCTACTTTTTTAAAGGAGTGATCTTTGTTTGTGTACCTTTTTATCTTTACAGCACTCACTCCCAAGCTATTACGAAAACCAGACCAAGAGCAGAAGCAAGCCTGCTGTGACATTGGGAAGTGTAATGGTTAAGGAATTAAGAATGGAGAGAGAGATGAGGATATGAAATGATATGATATGACCACGCAGATTGATAGTCTTCTCTTTCTTTGGTAGTTGCAGAACAGAATCGTATGTATATCATCCTACGGAGATGCATAGAGAGGTACTGTACACTACACATGCCTACGCCAGGTGCCTCCTACCACAACGTGATTCCCACAACTTTCTTATGTGATTTCAACTTTTTTCTGTAACTTTAATTGAAAGTGGATCATGTCCTGTCATGTCTTCTAATAACATCGTATATTCTTCGTGTAAACAATAATATATAACTTCTTTTTTATCTATTCATCTTTATCATCACTACAACATCAAAAATACAAGAAGAGGGTACTTTTATGCTTAAACACTTTATTTTTTATTTTATTTTTATGATTTTTATATTACTTGGATTTTCTATTTTTATTACTTCTCTGTTAAAACAAATAATAATTATTTAATAACTGTAACTTTCTACCACTGAATTTGATTGCTAAAGATATTAGTCACTAAATCATCCATAGTCTAAGAATAAAAGTGTTTAGTCCAATTAAAATTTAAAAAGAGAATGCTTATACATCACTTTTAATTTTTTATTTCTAATGAATATATATTATTATTATTATTATAAAAATTGTGTAATTATAAGCTAGTTTAAAAATAAAAGTATAATTAATCAACATTAATTATTAATAAAATTATCATTATAAAATAACAACTACAAGTGTTTAATTCTTAATATATTTTTTTCATCTCCACATCTATAAGTGTTTGTTTTTTAATATTTTTTCCCATTTGTTATGAGATGAACTGAATAAGTTTTTAAATCATTTAGTTAATAAGATGTAGTTGAAGCAAATATTTTTTTTATGAAAATGTGATTCTATATCATATGTAAAATTTTAATATAGTAATAAGTTCGTAATATATTGAAATTGATGTAGTATTTATTTTTTAAATTACTTTGAAGATGAATCGGTGTGAAAAATCATTAAAATATGATAATTTAATATTTTCTTATTTTTCATTTGCTTCACAACAACTTATTTTTGTTTACTTTATATTTTTTATTATTATTATTTTTATTATAGTATTATCAATTTTTTTTATGGATAATATTATAGTCATTTACAATACATCTATATTTTTTTAATTATTATTTTTTATATTACATCTCACCTTTTCTACCTCGGTGTCACTTTTTGTTTAAAATGTTAAAAATTTAAATTTATTTTAATATTATTATAATTTCTTTTGTTAGTTTAAAATATAAGAATATGTTATTTAAAATATAACAAATGTTTGTTTACGTGTAAAAAAATAAATATAAAAATATATTTTACATAAATTAAATATAAGATATTATATTTGATTGTGCAAATTATTTCAATCACTACTAACAAAATTACTTATTTTTTATTTTTTTTAAATAATTTAAATTTATAAGAATTATATTTCCTATAATTTTTATAAAAAATTGTAAAAATATTCTGTGAGAATATCTAGTAGTGAATTTTATTACAAATGGTTTTGTAATTTTATTATTAGATGGGATAATATATATATATATATATATATATATATATATATATATATATATATATATATGAAGAGTAAAAATAAATTGTAACACCAGATATATAAAAAACAAAGTGATGAATAGAACTATGAAAAGTTTTTGATTGGTGACCCTTGATTAAAATAAAAGAAAAAACAATCTTGATTTCTTCTGTTTCCTATTCTTCACTCAAAACAATTTTGATTTGGTTTTCAACTTCTTGCTAGAGAGCATGGACAATAAAACTACTACAAGACACATTGGACAATAAGACTACTACAAGACACATTCCTTATTTTCCTCCAAGTTTTTACCATCATTCTAAGTATTTACATAAAGTACAATATATATCTAAATTTCTATTATATAGGTCGATTTTTTCTTTTTCTTATATTTTATCTCTTTACTTTAATGAACACTTCTTTTAAAATTTAACCTTTTCAAAAGTTTGATAAAATAAATGAAAAGTCTTATCACAAGCACTTCAACTTATATATAGTTAACCCTATTAAGAGCAATGTTTTAAATAAAAATAAAAATAAAATAAATACCTATATTTGAATTAAATAATTTAAAAATAAATCAAATTTAAATATAAAAGTCACCCGATTATATAAGTTAATAAAAAATTTTATTTAAAAATCAATCGGTTAGACAAATTAAATCCACCATAAGATTATAAACTTATTCATTATTTTTAAATAATCAAATTTTAATTGAATCGATATCAAATAAAACAAAATCGATAAAATTAATTGAACTTTTTGATATCAATTATAAATTTATTAATTATTTTTAAATAATCAAATTTTAATTGAATTGAGGTAAAAAAAAACTGAAATAAAATGGTAAAATTAGTTAAATTTTTGGATAAATAAATTTTGATAATAAAATAAATATTTAGGATCAAAATTTTTTAATATAATTTTTTTTATAAAAAATATTATATTATATTTTTTTAATTAATTTTAAATAATAATTATTTTATTATATTTGACAATTATCTATTTTATACTTTTTAATATATTTTATATTTATATATTTTATTATAATCTTTATTATTACTATTATTTTATAAAAATATTATTATTAAAATTATTATATATTTATTATATTATAAAAATATTATTTTATTAAATCTTAATCTTTAATTTTAAAAATATTATTAAAAACATAAGCGGAATACAATCCTATTTTTTTTTTATCCATATATCTTTAACTTCCATTGAATTGTTTATATAGTACTTTGTGTTTTTTTTAATACTTTTTTTATACCTCGAGAAATTATATAAAACTATTTCCCACGCGTGGCCGTATTGACTAGTTCAATTCCCTATCAATTATGAATCATAAATGTGTAAGACTTGAAAATAAGTTTTTGTTGACTTTTCTTGATAACCTTCCATTTCAAAACATTGAAGGAAGTAATTTGAAAGAAACTATAAAGACTGAAAGAGACTGAAAAGTGCATCTACCAATATTAATTCAATTCATTTGCATTCACCATTAGAGTTGAGTGTCATAGTAAATGAGTCACACCTTAAAAAAAAAATAAAAATACAGTAATAGTTAAAAAACCAAACACTCACCACAATATTTAAAATTACGTCAATCATATATAACCACGTTTTGGAATCATTTGAAAATTGATAAAGATATTTTATTTTTTAATATATGTCAAGCTTAAAGTTCAGTGTTGCATATTGAATTCCAATCTATCCTCCATCAAAAGAAAAAAAAAAAAAATCTGTGTGATTAGTTATTAAATAGTCATTTTTACCATAAATGTTTGATGGTGTAATTATTTAGCTCACCGTTATTGGGTCTGTAGTGTTTATTTCTACTGATAGTTGTCATTGATTACTACTTGTGAATTAATGGTTTCACTGAACATTTTTATTAAAATTAACTTTTTACCTTTAAAAAAAACATACAATCACAAGTTGGTTTACCCAATTATTATTGTCGTCAAAAAATTATAATAATAGATAGGTTTGACGACATTGATTAATGTTGTTTTAGAATTTGTTAAGAGGAACTTTGCTAAACATTAGAAAAAAATGAAAATTTTAATAAAAATATTAAAAAAAGTCTCTTAATAACAATAAGATAATATGTGGAGAGTAGATGGTGATATTTGTAGATTTATGAATATTTTAAATAATAAATTATATCTGTGTTAATATTATTTAATATTCAATATTATTAGTATTATATTAATAAGAAGAAATACAGATATTAACTAACTTGCACTAACCCTAATATCTTTTTAACTTTTTGAATTCACTAGTAGAGGCTAATTTAGGGTTTATTTTGTAAATGAAATAATAAAAGAATGTGATTTGAGTAGTTAGTTAGGTAGAGTAGAGGAGCCATTTGTGTATATCCCTCTTAATGAAATTTAAGATTTTGATTCTGTTCATTCTTTAATGTAATTTAGAAAATATGATTTGGTGTAGCTTGTGTCCACTTAAATTATGCGTGAAACAAAGCATTAGGTGAAGTCATGCTAAAAGTGAGTAAATAAGAAAGGCAAGAAATAAAATGTTGATGAAAGGTTTTTGTGAAGAAATGAACAAGCAAACAGATGAGAATCATGAAGCACCAAATTAATGG